TGTTTGAGATCTTAGGAGTTACACAAATGATGATCTTGTCTTTGAGACCCCTAACTTCTACCTTAAACTCCATTAGATTTTTATTAAGTTTAAGATTTTCTTTTTTATAAGAAGTTTTTGTTTTTCTTTGTGTTTTTGTACTTAAGAAAAATCATATGATAGTTGGAAAGTAAAGTTTCATAAGACATTTCCTCTTCATCAGAGTTAGATGAATAAAAGCAAGATTGAGAATTTACCTTAACCTTTGCCTCAACATCTACTACTAGACAAATGTTCGCCTTTTTGTCATCTGAGCTACTACTGCTACTGTTTAAGTCCTCCCATGATGGAATCACACTAAGGCCAAGAAGACCAAGAGGTGATATATTGAAGGAGACAAGAGAAATGGGTTAGTTTTGAAAATCATAAGAGGAGTGAGCCTACTTTTGGGCCTTAACTCCTACGTTTTTTATTAGTATAAGATTTATTCCTGTTTTACACTTGTCTTTTATTTCCTATTTTACCCTTGCATTTTGGGTACCTTAGACATAGGATTTATTTATCTTATATTTTCTATTTTACCCTTGTATTTTGGGGTGTCTTAGTTATAGGATTTATTTTTACTTGTATTTCCCATTTTACCCTTATATTATGGGGTGCCTTAGATTATAGGATTTTATTTTATAGCTAGGGTATTTTATTAGGGTGAGAAAATAAGGCCTAGATGTGTTTTTTGGTAGCCTTGGATTTATTTTTGGACTTGGCAAGGTTTAGGCCCAAGTGGAAGGCACCTAGGTTGCATGGTCTTATCATGCACCTAGATGTAGCTTAACCAAACCCAAAGATTCCATCCTTGGCCACCAAGTAGCATCTAGGGTTAATTTAGGTTTCATTTGAAGTGCATTTGACTTGCATTTTTCAGCCAAGCACTCTCAAATGTAACCCTAAATGCATCATCCCTTCTATAAATACCCTAAGCTAGCAACCTTATAAATACTTTAGAATTTATGATATTAAGAGAGCCTTTGAGCCTTAATATTCTTTCCTTAGTCCCCTTGGTCATTTCGGCCAACTATCCTTCTCATATTCACCGTGAGTGTTCTCACCTTTAGGAGTGGCCTTCATCCATCAATGAAGTGAGCCAAAACCCTAGAGTACCACCTTAGCATTTCATCAAACACCTAGCCTCCATAAACACCATTCACCCATCTCCATCACCAAGGCTAGAAACCTTGAGTTTCATGATCCAGGGAGTCCGGTCTTCCCTCTTTGATGCTCCTAACTCAATCCATGCAACGAGGGTTGCCATCATCCCATATAGCCATTAGACTCCTCTTGGTCTTTTTCTTGCTATGCCATCTCTTTTGAGGGAAGGATAGTCTACCTTCATATGTCCAAGCTTTACGCACTCACAGCAGACAACATCCTTGTTCTCTAAAGCTCTAGGCTTCTTGGATCTCTTTTTCCTTTTGTGGAAGGTCCTCATCCTTCCCTTCCTTTTTAGCATGTCCTTGAGCTTTTTAAACATGAGAGATCTCATCGTTTATAGAGTTCTTAGAGCTTTCGTCTGGTTTTCTGTCTTAGACTCAATTTTGAGAGCTTTGTCGTGCTCTTTATTCTTACTAGGTTCACAGCTTTTCATAGCAACAATATTGTTTACTTTGTTGTGATCCCTATTGTTTAGGTGAACTTCATGAACTTTAAGAGCTCCAAGAAGTTCATCATGCATCAAGATCTTTAGGTCTTGAGCATTAGTGATTGTTTTGGCTTTAGGCTCCTAGATCTTGGATAGGTTGTCCAAGATCTTTAGATTGGTCTAAGCTTTTGAAAACTTAGCTCCTAGGGATTTTAACCCATTCAGAATTGTTTGGAAGCGTCCAAACGTCTCATCAATGGTTTTATTCACCTTCATGGAGAACAACTCATAGTGCCTCTGAAGAGTAGCTGCTCTATTGAGCCTCATATCTTTAGTGCCTTCATGAGTTACACTGATGGTATCCCATATTTCTTTTGCTACGGAGTAGTTGCAAAATTTTTTGTACTCGATTTGGGATAAAGAGCATGAAATGAGATAACATGCCTTGGTGTTGTTCTATAGGATGTTGTAATCTTCCTAAGTATATTGATCCTTAGGCTTAGCAACAACACCACCACCTAGTATCATTATCCTCCATAGGGGATACTATGTGGACTTATTGAACATTTCCATTTGGTCCTTCTAGTATGGGTAGCCTTCTCCATTAAAGGTTGGGGGCCTTGTAAGAGATACTTCTTCTGGTAGATACTAACCTTCATTGCTTCCCATCTAGATCTTTTTCCTTTAGCACGGTTAGATGCTCAACCTTGTCAAAGGCTGAGCTTTGATGCAAAATTGTTAAAGATAAACACTAGAAGGGAGTTTGAATAGTGTAAAAAAACTTACACATTTGTAAGTCAATAAAGTAATATCTACGACAAATGAAGCGTTGGCAAGAGTAATCAATGAACACAAGAAGTTTTTATACTAGTTCATCTCAACCACCGAGACTACATCTAGTTATCAATCCAACCATATTGATTTCAACTGACTTTCAAAAAAGTTACAAGTATTCTTTCACCAAGCCACTTCTACTTCAATAAAAGTGCTCTTTAACTGGCCTCTTCAAGCCACTACCCGAGTATTCTTTTTACATATAAGCCTCTCCAAACTCAACCCCAAATATTCTTTTATAGACAAGCCTCTTCAAGGTCTACCCTATAACAATGGTTATACAGAAGTTACAAGGGTGTTGTTATTGTTGTTGTCGTCTTCTTTAGACATGATTACAATGAAAGTTTAAGTACAAAAGATCTTTTTGAAGAAGATTTTCTTTTATATGTGGTTCTCTTTTGTGTTGTATATATTATCTACCTCTATCATCAATTCTTTTAAGTTCTAGAGCTTCTTATATAGTATCTTTGAAAAAGATGACCAATGCAGCTTAGCTTCTTGAGTCTGATTCATAGAACATCTTCGTCTTACTCCTTCATCTGATCTAGAGAGAGAAGAAGTATTTGTTGATGAATTAAATGCTTCAATTAATGCCTTTCACCAAAATGTACTCCTTATCTTTGACAGATCATGCTACTTATCAGAGCAGAGCAACAAAGTGAGAATAATAAGAAGCAAAGTTAGTGTGCAACATGAATGCAGTACTTTTTCTATAGCTTTTTCATGAGATTCAGGATCTTAATTTGTCCTTTATTTTGATGCTCCGCATACCTTTATACACTTTTAACAGAATATGAGTTCTAAGACAACGATTTTTGATCTGTTAAGGTATAAAGAATTCATTTGAAAATTCAAATGTGTTAGTCATAATAAATAATAGACGTTAAGAACATGACAAACAATTGTATGTTTTGCCTGATTTGTTTCTTCTTATAGACGCTACTTCCTCTTACAAAGTCTGAAACAATGAATTTTTGAAAACATTTTCTTGCTGAAAGACATATTTTTTGTTAACATTAAAACTTACAAAAAATGAGGGATCTAAGATCATTTTTTGACATAACAAAAAGAGAGGATATATGATAAAGTGAAGACTTTGATGTATGAAATATTGAAGTTGGTTGAGGGCATCCTAACTAAAAAGATTAACCTTTTTTGTTGAGAACTATGTAGAATAAAAAAACACAAGACTCATGTATATATATATATATATGTGTGTGTGTGTGTAAAAGATTTTATATTATTAATCAATCACATATTATCATAAGTATTGAGTTTATTAAATTTTGAATTAATCTTTTTTGTACCAATGAAAATTTCTAATTAGTTATAAAGAGTAAAGTTTGTTACTATAACAATATATAAAATTGAATTCTTCTAGTATTTGAAGCTTAAAGAACAAAAACATAGAAATGGGGATTGAATCTATGTATGGAAGATTTTTTAAAACTTTGCGCAATGGGACAATATGAGTTTGTAAAAGTGCTTCATGTAATTAAAGGTGAAGGATAAAAGATAACAATAAACATTTTGATTGTTATATTATTTCACTCAATCTGAGCATACCCAATTGCCTTCAAGCTCAAAGGGTTCCACTAGCATGGAAACTTTTTACAGCAATTATTCTCAATTCCACTTCTATTAACACAAATATTTTAGCAAGATAAGTGAATGAAGCATAGAAGGCTTAGTCTAAATGTGTTGCTTTAAGTGCTAACAATTCTTTTTGTAGCTAATTACTTTCTATTTTGGAGGTTGTGTTGGTTCTAGTTCATTGTACCATTTTGCGTGCATATAGAAAATATGAAATAAAACCTTAATAAATTTATAATGAGTACAAATTATCACAATGCTTATCACGACATGTTTTTTATTCATTTTAAAGTGCAAAGATGTTCAATAAGCATTGGACTTGTGAACAGTTAAGGGACGTTGGCTTTGGTCTCACAGCGTTGGACATTAGATGCATACATTAACTAACCAATATTATTGAGTGTTTTCACTTCTTTAACTTTACGTGTTTTTATAATATGTTTATTATAATAGCGATTTTGTTCTTTATTCCTTCTACATGGTTAGATACATGATACATGAAATGACTTAGACAAATATTAGTTAATATAAAGGTTATCACTTTACTATCATCAAAACTAGAATATTAAACACACACATGCGTACCAATAAATAAGATGACATTTTTTATTTTATGAAATGGAAATACATATAATAAGGAATGTCCAAAATATGAAGTTAGAAAAATTAACTTTCAAAATTATTTTTGGTGTCAAAAAAGTTAGTCAAAGATTTCATTATTTATAATATTAATTGTATTATAAATAATTTTATAGATATTAATTATTTTTAATATTAATTTTTTTAATTATATATAGTCCGTGGTCAAAGAAACAACATTAATTGTATTAATTATTTGTAAAATCAATTTAGTTATTTATTAAATAAATTATATAAATTGAATAAAGTTAAAGTTTTTAGTATATATATATATATATATATATATATAGTTTGACATCTTTAAAAAAAAAATAGTTCAAGCACCTCACCTAATCTCGTTATTGGATATTTGATACTATCTCACAAAATTAAAATATGAAAATCATCTATTATTTTTCAATTCTCTTGTTTGTTCTTTCTATTGGTTTTGGTATGCTCTGCTTTATTTTAATTGAAGTTATTTAATTATAATTAATAAGATGTTCTTTACAATTTTGGCTAATTCTTACTAATGCATGGGTGACTGGGTGTATCTTGTGCTATAGGAAATCAAATGCAATTGGCAAATGCAAAAGAGTGTCAAGCAACGTTGTTTGCTCCTTGTATGACAGATGTTTGTTCAATGGCATGCAATAACCGTTATGGACGCTTAGCAAAAGGAATATGTAATGGCCCAGGGAATACATGTGTTTGTTATTATCCATGTTGAGCATGTTTTCTGCAACAGTCATGTTGCTCACCTTCTGTATTTATGAAATGTTCAACAAAATGAATAAAACAGCAAAATAAATTGGTTTTGTTATTTCAAAAATCTTCCATAAACTTTTGGCGTGCATGATAGATATATTGTCTAAAGTTAGAATTTATACCCTCTACTCCATGGACTTACTACAAGATATGTAATTTTAACTAGTATGACACCTATTGACTTACACGATTATTTTGATTTTCTTATGTGTGTGTAATAACATGTTTATTAAAAAAAGTAGATTTGGATTGGCATAATTAGTTGTTTAAATTATCAAAAAATAAAATGAAAAAGCTTTATGTAGAAAAATTAAGTAGCCTATCTTAAATTATTGTGTATTATTAGATAATATATATATATATATATCTAAAGGTAAACATTGTTTTTAGTTGTCAATACAAATGTTGACCAATGAAAAAAATATAATCTACTTCAAGGACAATGATATTTGTTTCGAAAATAAAAATTATATAAAGTGAGCAACTAGCAAATGCATTTCTTATGCATTAGTTGGTACATAAATTTGATAGCAATACACTTAATAACATCTTGATGGAGGACCATCCATAGAGAGTTCTTATTTGAAGACCATTGGACCTTTAACTGGGTCTATAGTTAGGAGGCTTGAGGAGGCTTTTACAGAGGACGTGTTTCTTAGACATATGCTTTATATGAGAATTGAGTATGATTCCGCTTTTTTAGTCTTATAGTCTTTATTGTACAAAACTTATATAGTTTGAGTTCTTTTACCTTGTATATAATAGATACATGTATAGGCCTATTTTGCCTTTGTGTTTGTAAGGAACCTTTATCTTTCTTTATAGGTCATATCCTTAGGATTATAGGGTATGTTGCTTGAGGACTATTTTTTCATTTGATCTTGTATTAAAGGTCATAGATTTGCATATTTTTAGTTTTAGTAGTGGGGTAGCAAGTAGAAAATGTGTAGGTGAAGCTAGTAATTGGGCCTTTACTGGGCCTTGTTAGAACTCAATAAATTTTTATCTAGCTCATAGATGGTTTGGACTTCCGTTTGAAAATCTCATCAGTAAGGGAATGCTCAAAAACTAGACTACTCCCTAACCAATGGTTTTAAAAAAGAGTTCGAAGGAGTTACCACCGATATTTTACTCAAAATCTCGAAAAAAGAAAAGATTTTTGAAATTACAATAATAGCCTTCATGGCCAGAATTGGATTCAGGAGTCGATTACGTGTAGGAAAGGTGTTAGACACCCTACAACGCCTAAATCAGTACCCTATGAAGATATTATCATAATAATAAATAATAATTTAAATATTTTATCCCCTTTTATTAGTTAATGTTATTTACATTACAATTATTTATAAAAATAGGGGTTCATACCCCAAACGTTTGAAAATATTATGGTGTACATGATGATTAGATATTCATGACAATAATATATGAATAAAACAATTTAGATAAATAGAGAAGAAAGAAAGAATTGATAATAAAAAAAAAATTACCTCCGAAGCGAGCTTTTATAGAATATTCTTCTAATGTTGAGTTAAAGGCACATTTTGATAATCCTTCCCTCTACAAAAGACCTCACAAACACTCAAGAATTACAAAAGAGGGAGATAGAGAGAAGTTTTTCAGAACTAAGTATACTGAAACGGGTGAAAAGACTCTAATTTTCCTTTTCTGGTCTATTTTCGGTCTCTTTGCACTATGGATGAGACACCTATTTATAGGCATCAAAACCAACTAGAATGGCCATTTTGATCAGTGAAATGGGTTGTTCTAGGTTAGTTTATTATGGCAAATATTTTAATTTGGAATGACCTAATTCAAGATTGAAACAAGCTATTCCAAACTGTTATTTTGTTCATAACAACCTAGGTCAAAATGGCCCGTTCCGGATTGGGAATGACCTGTTTTAACCTAAGGTTTTCAGGCTTTTTTGGTGGTTTGGAATGACCTGTTCTAGATTGGGAACAACTCGTTCTAAGCTCCTAATTTGGTATTTTTGATCTTCTAGGCCTTCTGATGCTATTCTGGTCCACTCTGATGTCATGTTAGGCCTTCAAGGACCTATTGCCTGGTTTTAGTAGTCCTTTGTCTTGTTTTGGTATCTCGAACAAAATTGGATGTCTATAGGTTCCCTTCTTTACATGTACTTTAGATGGCCATGTGTTGCTTTTCCAAAGGTAAATAAAGATGTAGACATTTCGTTTGGGTCTTTTCTTTGTCCCTGCATGCAGGTGCTTCTAGATTGATTTCTTCGGATAGATCGGTTTTCCCGTATCCTTACTCTTCAAAGTAGTTGAGTATTGGGTTGCGTACTCCATTGAGGAATAAGGATGGAAAATTGTACCACCTGATCTTTTATCTTCACGTAGATGCTCCATGCTACTTTTTTTGATTGCTTGTTTGTGATCGTGAAGTATATTATGAGTATATTATGAGCTCAATCTCTCTAGGCTGGACTAGTATTGGGGCTTCCAATTAGGCCAAGTCATGATGAGTACCGTCTCTCCAAACATTCCCTTATGGCTTTGTTGTGTACAAGTGAGGGAAGTAAGTATTTTCTGAGCTCAACCTCTTTAGGCTAACTGATATTAAGGCTTTAGCCAGCCCAAGGCGTGGTGTTTGATGATTAATCTGAGTTAATGATTTGTTGAGAAATGCCTCTATATTTGTGGGCAGAGAAGTTGTCTGTAGGATCGTGATCTTGTGATCTTGACCTTTCTCCATTCGACGAATTTGGTGGTGACCTCATTTATTTGCTTGATTCATAATGGAGGTTGCCTTAGTGATGACCGGTAGAAGGAGCTCGATGTGCTCCCATCTTAAGTTGTCTTTGTTGATGAGTCTTAACGTTAGTAAGAACTTCGTGTCATTCCTGCCATGTGAGTATTATGATGTCTCTCCAAACGTCTTTACTAGGGATGGATGACAGGGATTCTGGTGTTGTTCCTGCCATGTAAGTATTGTAATGCCTCACTAGGCGTACTATTGTGATGATGAGTATTGTTATGTTGATTTCTCTAGATCGCCTGCTTGTGATGATGAGTATTATTGTGTCGGCCTCTTTAGGCCACCTATTATGATTTTGAGTATTATTGTGCCAACCTCTTGAGGCTGCCTACTTCTTGAGGCTATCTGCCTCTTGAAGCTGCCTGCTTATGATGATGAGTATTATTGTGCCGACCTCTCCAGACCGCATGCTTGGGATGATGAGTATTATTGTGTCAGCCTCTATAGGTCGCATGCTGTGATGATGCGTATTATTGTGTTGGCCTCTCTACACTACTTGTTGTGATTTCTATGACCTGAGTTAAAATGAATTATTCCCAATCTGAATGGGCCATTTTGGCCCATAAATTTGTATGTAGAAAGGCATTTGGGAACGACCCGTTTCGAAATCAAAATGACCCGTTTCCAATTCAAAAATTGGCTTTAAACCCTAGCTTGGAACACCAAGTTCCGAAACCCAGAACGGTCGTTCCAGTTAGTCTGACACCTATAAATACGTGTCCTCATGCACGGTGGAAAAGAAGCAAAAATTCATAGAAAAGATGTTATCTTTGACTTGTTTCTAGTAGTTCTAGTTCACAAATCTCTTTTCCCTCTATCTCTTGTATTTCTTAAGCGTTGTAAGGACTTTTGTAAAGTGAAAGGATGCCAAAAAGTACCTGATCCCCACATTTGAAGAAGAATTCTATAAAGCTTGCTTCGGAAGTATTACTATTAAATCTCTTTCTCTTTCTCTCTCTATGATTTTTTTCTTCTAAATAATCAATATAAATAATTAAGCAATCATGTAGACATACTATTTTAAACGTTTAGGGGTTTAAACCCTCCACCTTCACATGAAATTATAGCATAAAAGTAACATGTAAATAACCAAAAGGGGAATAAGATATTGAAATTATTATTCTTTATCATGCTAATTTAATCATAGGGTACCAATTTAGTGATGGAGTCCTAGATTAATGAACTCCATGATTCTTTACACGTTACTCCTTCTTGAGTCCTTGAGAAATCTTTAAGGTTTGAGTCAAATGAAAAGAAAAAGAAGAGTTGGAGAAGATTTTCCTAAGCTCCTCGGATAGAATTCCAAGGCTACAAATAGGAAATCTCAAGGTGAAAGTATGGTTTCCCCTCACTCTAGGTGACTCTCAGCTTTGAGAGAAAATGCAGAAGTTTACTCTCAAATAATACTCAAAAGTGAGAATGATACATTGATGGACAATGGGCCAAGGACCCAATTACTAGAGCTATGGCCAGGAGCATATAGGAGGGATTGGATAGCTTGAAGGTTAATGGGCTTTCTAAGCCCAAGCTAATCTCCATGTGGACCACCATATCTTGAAGAGAAGACCTAGTTCATTTGTATAGGTTCCTTTTTACCTTTGTATTTGTGAGGCACTTTGTTTCCTTTTTATAGACTATTCTATTGTGTATTTAGGGTAGGTTCTTTGGAGACTTTTACTCCATTTGACCTTGTATTAAAGGTCACTCATTTTACATTTTTTAGTAGTAGAAGTGGGATGACAATTAGAAAGGTATGAGGGTGTAAGTAGTAAATGGGCTAGAGTTGGACCTAGGCCAATTTTTACATATTGGACTTGTTTTCCTCCATATTTTTCAAGGAATTGATTTAGCTAGGTCCCACCATCATTGGGTGAACCTAATTAAACCAATTCCAAATTATTTGGATTGGACAAATGGAGAAAACAAGCCCAAGGCTGCCCCTCCCAAACCATGGCCAGATTTGCTTCTAACCTTTGGTGCCTTTGGGAAGCTTGTGCTACAAGCTTTTAACTTAGCTTGCTTCCCAAGCTACTAAGTTAGAAGCTTGCTCCACAAGCCTCCCAAACCATGGTGGACGGTCAAACTAAGTCAACCATGGTTCTCTTGAACCATGGTTAAGCTTAGCTTGCTCCACAAGCTACCATACTCTATATAAGTCTATTCCTTTCATTTGTAATCACTTTTGGACTTAATGAATCAAAATTTTCTCACAAATTCTCTCTTCCAAGAGTCTTAGTATCCGTGGAGAATCACTCTCTCCCTAGGAACCTTCAC